AGGGACGTGCCTCCACGGCGCCGCCCTGATGTTCTGGGCGAGCTCCGGCTGCCACCTAAACTCCCCCCGCATCCTCCGCGCGGCCCTGACATTCTGCACGCCACGCTCTGGGTCGATCACGAGATGAGCGTCGTCCAACGCCCTCTTTCCAACCCAGATCCCCCCCGCGAAGCGGGCCTCCCACTTGCCGCGTCCAGCAGCACTTCGGGCTGGGATCCGACGCCAGACCTGCCCGCCCATATCCGCGATTCCCACCACTGCATTCCTTGCCGCACAGCATATTGTGAGAAGAGCCCCCATGGTTTCGCGGCTGAAACCCAATGATCATCTAGCCCACCGAGTTGACGAGCCAAGGCACGATGGGATCCGCCATCTTGATCTCGCGCCCCAGCTTGTGCTCCAGCTTCAGCCTGTAGGTCCGCAGCAAACCTGCTGCAAGCTTGTTGGCACCCTCGGCGTAGCCAACACTCTGCTTGGAAAAAGGGGACGGCCCCCGCACCAAGGTAAAGTGAGACCTGCGATCTCGAACTGCATTTGCCAGGGTCATCGCCGCAGACCTCTGGTCTGTCTGGAGCACACCTGTCCTGTGACCCTAGAGCTTATCAGGAAGTACACCGTGTAGTTGTCCAACTCCTAGTTAGCACGCAGCGCCGCCTATGCCGGGATCTTGCAAAGATCACGCTCAGCACTCAGATCGCCTGTTCCAGAGCTGTTTTCGCTACCAGCGGCCTCTCACGGAAGCTGAAGTAGCCCCCATTTGAGCTTGCACTCAGCCGCAAGCTGGTCAGTCCCGACGTAGAAGATGTCGAACACCACCTTCGGCACTTGCTTGTCGCCCGCTGGCTCCAGCACGTAGCGCGGATCGCCGTCCGCTCGAGCCCCCGCGCACCGTGGGCACCAAGGGCTAAAAGGCAGGCGGCGCCCTCCGTGCGCGGCCCTCTCCGCGGCACTAGGCCGGCAGGGTGACTTCAGCACCCTCGTCGGCGCAGTCGCACTCTCGTCCGCCTGTGGGCCGAGAACTCTCGGCAAAGATCCAGCTGCTTGCTCGGCTGGGACCTCCCGCGGCAGCGTCTTCCTCAGTGCCGCTACCTGCGCGGCGCCTGGTTGCCGTATATGATGCGATCGTACTCTAAGTAGCAGTTGGCCTGATGACGTCGTAAAGGTACGCACCCAGCTCCGCCAGGCGGCTCGATGGCGCCGCTGGCACTACCGCATCTGCGGCCGCAGCGGGGCACCCCACGTCGGCAACTTCCGCGCCAACTTGGACGACTCATCCTCCACTGGACGGGTTACGCTCCACATGGCCGCGCCTCTCGATCTCCACGCCTCCGATACCCTTCAGGCCAAAGACGTTGCTGTCCGTCGGCGCGTAGGCGTGCATGATCACCTGCTTCCTCGGCACTGCGCTCACCTGCGCGCCTGAGTCGAGCGCGATGGCATTCCGAAGCGGGGCTAACCGCAGTCGGTCGTCGCCCGGCACCTGCTCTCGCAGGCCCCCGACCTCGGGCAGCGCAGGCCCGGCCGCAGCTGGCAGCGCGGGTTCTACCGCAGCTGATTCGCAGCAGCTACGCTCTCCGCTAGTCGAACTTCGAGCGCCTGTGCTTGCCCCGACCAGCATTCGGCCCACGTCTCGCAGAAGTCCAGGCCCCACTCATGGCAATGCCACCCTTTGCCCTCGAACAGCTTCTTGCACGAGCTGCGGATGCACTCATTGGAGGAGGGCACGGTGCACTTCCAGTCGATCCTGTGGCCTCGGACTTCGCGACCCCGACCCTCAGGGCCAGAATCATCTTCGCTCGCAGCCCTCTGCAGACTGGCAGGGTCACTGCGCTTTCGGCGCTGCTGCGTGCCCCTAGCAGAGGCTGCGTGGGCACCGTCGACCCTGTCGCTGAAGCCACTCCTGCTCTTCGCAACCTCTCGAGCTCTTTTACTGCCGCTGCTGCGACACTCTTCTTCTCGTTGACCTGCGGCTGGCGGCTGCCTTCTTCTCGTCGGCTATCCGCTTGCGGCAGTTGGCGCTGCGGTGGCCTTTCTTGCGACAGTAGTCGCACTCCAGGCTGGCGCCTGGGTTCGGCGGCCTCTCTTCGCCCTTGCCCGTTGTCCATCGGATCGTCGTGGACCGCTCGCTCCGCCATCAGCGCCGACACGACTTCGGCTCGCAGGAGCTCGCTCGCGTTCAGCCAACGACTGTTCCGAAACACGCGCATCTGCAACTCGTCGCGTTCCTTGAGCGCCTTGGCGAGGACTCCTCGCATGATGAAGTCCGACACGGGTTCGCCCGACATCTTCTGGCACCTCGCCATGTCCTCGTCGAGCTTGCTGATACTCACCATCACGTCGCCCTTTGCCTCGAACTTCGCGTCCGTGAGCTCGGCCCACATCGCTAGCACGTTGCCTGCTTCGTTCGGGTTGTACTCCTCCTGCAGCTGCCTCCAGCACGTAGCCCCGGCGCCCGAGCTGCTGCCCCTCCCAATCATTTCGCCAACCGAGTCCTCAGGCATGACCAGGACCAAGGAAAATTACAGCTGCGTGCTGAGCTTCGCCTCTCGGGCTGACAGGTTCACGCGGGTTTTGCACTGGAAGCTAAAACGTTTCCCAGCTCGCTCTCTGACTGTCAAACGGCTTCACCTCGCAAAGAATCTTCGGGCCCATCATCTCGCCACGAGGCCCTCGTTCTCTGTCGGCTTGTCCACGAAGCTGGCCTCGCATCTCGGCTATCGCTAGATCTCGTTGCTGAAGCTCCGTCCGCATCTGCTGACCCTCCGTCGTCAGCCTCTGCACTGGCTCGACAGCTCTCGCACTTGTCGGCCTTCGCCCGGCGCTGGAGATCGAGCACGAGCTGTCGCTCTACCGCTGCTCGCTCCTCTTCCGCAAGCTGAGCCGCGTCGCCGCACTCGGCCAGCTTCCGGCAGGCGCCCCCTCGGTTCTGGCGGTGGGCCCTCGCCTCTGGGGCTCTGCCACCGCGCTTGTTCGCCTTCTTGGCCTTGAGCTTGCTCGCAGCCTTGGCCTTGAACTTGCTCGAAGGCTGGAATCGAACCCTGGTTCTTACCACTTTGCCAGGGCGCGGGCCCTCCCGGAGCTCTGGCCAACAAGGGGCATCCTGCTTGCTAGCAGCGGGGATCGTCCCGCGGTTGTTTCCGCGGCCTTCCGCCGCTGGACCCGCGGCGCGCCCGCCGCTGGGCCCCCCCGAGGGGCTCCTGGAGCTCGCCGGGCGCGGAGCTGGCCCGCGAACCTCAAGCGAGTTCCGCTGCCATGCACGCGCCCCCCTACCCCCTGTCGCGGAGATAAGGGGGAACGAGGGTTGCTCTTTCTCTTGAGCAACAAAGGGGTGCAGAATTGTGGGTCTTCTCCCGAACAGTCTGAGTATATGTTGATATAATCATATGTCATAGTAAAACTACAGACCTCCTAGCACCAAGCCCCCATACGGGCCGAAAGCTGCCAGAGATCTTGCCGTTGATTGAGAGTTCTTCGCGACGCCGGGAAGGTCGTGGGGGAGGGGGACAGGAGAGGCAAAGTTAAATCAATGGCAGCAGCGAGGAATGCGGATTCCCCGCTGCAGTGCCCTGGTGGAACTCCGCGGGCCCCGCTCAGGGGTCTCTTACAGCGGTAAAGAAGCAGTACAAATGATTCGAGAAAATGCGTATGATGCCATCGACGATTCTGAATACGACGGTGGCGCTGGCAGTGTTAATGATAACGACTACCTGCGGCCCAAAGATATGTTCCTGGTTGGGGTTGCGAATGCCAGCGACCCATTCCCGGTTGCGGTTGCAAGTGTTTGCTGACCAAAATGTGTCGCCCAATTGCGGTTGCGGGTGGTGCGGCAGCGGGGGCCCACAGGGGACCGCGACCCAAAATGCGTCGCCCACTTGCGGTTACGAATGCGGCTGCGGGTGCCCACGAGCCAAACCTATGCTTCCCAGTCGCGGATGCCTATCGGCCCCACGTGATTGCGGATGCGGTTGCGGGTGCGGCTGCGGCCCAAAATGTGCAACCCACTTGCAACCGCGATTGCAAGTCGCATGCCTGAGACACAACACACGTTGCCTGGTTGCGTTTGCGAGTGCAACTGCGGGTGCGGCCGCAGGTGCCTGCGGATCAGAATGTGCTGCCAGAGGGGTTTGTTGCATTTGAGGGTGCGACTACGAGGGTGCGACTGCGGGCGCCAGCGGCCCCAAATGCGTTGCCCTGTTGCAAGTGCGGGTTCAGGTGCGGAAGCCCGCGCCCAAAAATTGTGGTTTAGTTGCGGTATTGAATGCCAGCGGACAAAGACATGTTTCCCGGTTGCGGTTGCGTGTGCCCGCGGCCCGCAATGCGTTGCTCTGCTTTGCGGGTGTGATTGCAGGTGCCACCAGACCAGAATGTGTTACCTGGTTGAGGGTGCAGCCGGGGTTGCGGGTGCTGGCGGCCGAATGGTGCTCAAAATGTGTCCCGCGAAATCGGTTGACATCAGTTAGTCGGACTGGTGGGCACGGAGTGTCACTCAGGATTTCGAAGCGAGTCCAGGCGCGGCGCCGAGGGCATGCCCAGAGAACCACAAAAGCAAAAACGTATAGAAGTTCACCCCTTCGCGTTATTCTCCTCGCCCCGACACACCCCAGCCCCTCGAGGAAGAGGGTCTTAGACCCGCCCCCGCTACAGCCTCCAATCCCAAACCTTCGTCGGCGTGATTTCTTCACTACGGGGTTGCTGGACATCTCGACTCCTTGACCATGGGAACGGGCTCCCCAAACCGACAGCGACCGCTGATGGGCACGCGCTTCACGCTACAAACGGAGGACGTCCGCGGCGGTACCAGCAAGAGGCCGTGTTCAGAATGGATCACACTGGCTGTCGGCATTCATCCTGAGTCTTTCCTTCACGATTTCGCTTCTCATCTCATGCGCACGCTGTCCAGGCGGCGGGGGTAAGGAGGCCCCTGCCCACCTAAGGCAAGATTCGGTGCCTTCTACCGTTGTCTGGCACGCCCCCTGCCCTTTGAACGAGCCCCGCCCGACCCAGCGGATCCGCTCGACCGCGGCGCCCGTCGCGCCGGCGCCGCCGGGCTGCTTCCCGAGGACCTCCTCGCGCAGCGCGCGCCGGGCTGGCGGCGGGGCGCTCGGCGCCGTCATCTGCGCGCGCCGGCGTCCGACGGACACCTTGGTCCGACCTCTGCCCCGGCGGCGCGGCCCCAAGAAAGGGAAGCAGAGTTCTGACACAGTCAAACTGATGGTCAGGATGCGCGGTAAGGAAGCAAGCCCCTTGGACGCGCATGTCCAAGTTTTCGAGCGGGGCTGGCCATCGGGAGCGATCACGGATGGACCAAAGATTCCGACGGCGTCGGACGGGCCAGGGGCCCACCAAGACGGCCGACGATTGCACTAAGATGACCCAAGACGGCCCAAGAGGCCTCCAAGGGGGCCTGCCCGAAAAGTCCAAAATCAGTGATTTCCCCTGAGTTTTTGAAGGATTGTGGTATTTGCCCTTTTTCGACCTTCCAACGGCCCGAGAAGGCCCACGCGCCCCCAAAGATCGCCCAAGAAGCCCAAGACGGCCCCAAGAGACCCCCAAGACGGCCCAAGAGGCCTCCAAGACAGCTCAAGATGGCCACCAAGACGGCCGAAGAACCCTCCAAGACGTCCTCCAGGAAGGCCCGAAAGGGTCAAGCCGGCCTCCCGACGGCCAAGACGACCTTCAAGATGCCCACGTGTTCCCCGAGGGCTTCCCAAACCGACTCGGGGAACGCATGGTCCGATAGCTTGGCAGGTCTGGCCTCAACGTTCGGCCACATAGCCGCTTCCAAAAGGGCAGGGCGGCGGCGATTCGCCGTAGGCGTCTGAGATCCGCCGCCCGACATTTGCAACACTCACTCTCGCTGATCGGCACAAATGCCCCCTGCCCCCTCCTGTCCATCCTGTGGCTCGGTTCCCTTGGCAGCCTCCTGGGTGGGGCCATTTGACGTAACCCCTGGGTAAGCCTTAGCATCATCCAAGATACCCTCCAACCTGCGCTCCTCGGCAGCCGCTGGCGCCTTTGTGCCCCCCTCTTTTTTCACTTCCGCTTCCTCCGGCAGTTCCTTTCTACTAGCGCAGCATTTGGCGACGTGCCCGAATCCTTGGCACGCGTAACACGCGGGCCGCCCCCCTCCCCCCCCCTTTGCCCGCCTCACTCGCGTCGCCATTTCCGCTCGCGCCCCCCCCCCCCACCCCACTCCAAGTTCACGAAATTTCGCCTTCGTCGCAGTTGCCTGAATCGCTTGCGCCTGCGATTGGGCCGATCTCTATGGAATCGTTGTTTCTCGCGCCAACGCCCAGTCTCTTCGCGCCCGCCCAATCTAGTTTGTCGGCGGGCGCCGAGGTTCATCGAATCCGGCATCCTGAAGCAATCCCGCCGCCGGTGGTCGAACCACATCACAACACGGCAATCCCGAGTGACAGCGGCAACGAATATACAGACCCGCACCTGTACATGGGGCTCCACCAACGCAATCTATCGCTTGAATTGGATTGCCACATCGCTCACCTCCTCGGGCTTTTCAGAAGCCCCGGCTCGTTTCATCCCGCGTGAGAACGCGTCTCCTGCAACGGCCAAATATTACTTGTATAGTTTTTGTTTTTACAGGTAGGCCGCTGCCTTCACGTAAAACCCCACGCATTCCAAGAGACTCCGCGCCCTCTTACAGTTCGCCGAATAAAAAACCAGATGGCCCGGCCAAGCTCGGTGGAGCCACCCCCACATCACTCGCGCTCGCATTTTGCGGCCTCTTTGATCATTGGTCAGCGATGCTTTGGTGCTCCCACTCAGCGTTAGACCGCCGCCACCCATGATGAGGTCGCCCCCCTCGCCATCGGGCAGCGCCCCACCCGTGAATCAGCTCATTGTTGAAGTTATCGGGCAAGCGCATTCAGCAGCTTCCACCACGGGCTCGCCCCCGCCCGCCCCCCCCCCTGCCCTGCGACTGCATTGACTCGGCGACCTTGGCAACACGTTCCGAATCGTTCGCCCGATGGTGGAATTCATGCCCTCGCGGCTGGCCTCGAGCGCCTCATCGACGCACCTGACGCCCCCGTTCTCGCAACCTGCACTGCACAACTCCGCGAACTGGCAGCGTGCCTGGATTGCGCCAGGCTCCACACACTTCAACTAACGACACATTGTTAGCCGGGTCGTCGTTGCCGGGTTTCACCAGGGTCGCTGCAGCGGCAGCTGCCGCCATCTCTGCCCTGGAACCCGCGGGGCAAACCAAAATAGCATTTAAGCCAAACAGCGAAGAACTCACGAATCAAACTTGCATCGCGCTCTGCCTGACTGCTGAGCAAGAACTGCACCCAGACGCACCGCTACGACCCACCCCCCACCACCACCCGCCCCACCCCCACCACCACCACCATCACAACCACCACCACCACCACCACCACCACCACCACCACCACCACCCTGCAAACTGCAAAGGAGGCTCGGCGCGGAAACGATGGGCGGTGCATCTTGCATCACAAGGCAAGACGCGAGCTCCACTGACAGGTGCTTGAGCCACAGGACGTCGGCACCGACAGCTGCTCGACTAAACTGCACGACTGCATTTCTCACCCAGCCCAAAGGCTATGTTCCAACATTCTCCGTGGACCAGCATGGCCGATGAGCTCAGCGGGCGAAGAGTTGCATAGAGCGAACTGGACGAAGGCTAACAACAGCGATCAAAGACCACGCTGAGTCTCCAACTCAACTGAAACGCCGAGCACAGGGGCACGGGTTGGAGGCGGCCACGCAGCATGGCGCAAACGCGCAAGGGCTTCCGAATGCTGGATGAACTCGCTTGTCCTGCAAAATGCAAAATTGCCGGCAACGGTTACCAACGATCGCGCCAAGCAACGAGAGGGGGGAGACAAGGGGTTAGAGGATCACCTAGCGGCGGTGGTGGCTACGAATGGGCCTGGCAGGCGCGGCCGCACTGCCACCCCAGCATGGCCCCTGCTCAGGGGCGCGGTCCGATTGAGACACTGAATAACAGCTGGCCCCATCAATGGCACCCCTGAAGCAGCCAAACCGAGCCGCTGCATCATGTTCGCGAACCTACACCCAACATCCGAAGTCGTCATTCTTGATGCGCTGAACACTACGGTCGACAATCTTGTCGAACCGACCCATCGCTTCCCGGAAGCTACAATATTGAAGGGGCCCCTGGACACACAAACAAATACACAACTAAAAGGATTCCCCATATTTCCCATATTTGTGTTCCCCACCACTTCCCATGTGTCTGCATATGTTCCTGGGAGTCGACGATTAATTTTGTCTGCGCGTTTCTTTCCCCCCTGAAATCTGGATTACGAAGATAACGGGAGAACGCCGGATTCGGCTCAGGCACCCCCTTCAACTCGGCGCCTGCGTTCGGATCGGCCCTCCAGCGGCTTGCCGCGGCCCCTATTCGGAAGCCAATGGCTGGCAGCCACGCCTGCCAGCACGCCGCTTGCGCGCGGCATTTGGAACGACGACGCGCGCCCTGGAAAAGACACTCGCGGGCGTCGATCACGCGATAACCGACACGTTTAGCTTGGCGCGCGCCAGCACACCCCCGGCGGCCGCGTCGGCGCCCTTTACTCGGCCCTACTGAACCAGACAATCACCTCGTGATGTTTGTAGAAGATGACAAGAAGGCCCGCGATCTGAATGCAGAAATCAGAAAACTCCTGAATGGCGATGCGCACGGTAGCAGTTCCAGGGCCAGCCACATCCGGACAGTTCCAGCGCCGGGCAACCGTTTTAGAACATGCCAAACATAGCGCCAAACAGATTTAACAGTTCGCCCACTGGCATTTCCGGGCACGCTCGGATAAGCACCTGTTTTTTGCGTGCACGTCCTCGCGCGGATTGCGCTGATTCGGGTCTAACGGCGCGCGGAAGTCGCGAGGCACCTCAGACTGCCAGTGGCTGATCTGATTCAACCACTGCACATGCATGCCACGCTGGCACGCGGAAACTCGCACCTCCGCGCAAAGGGCCCCGCCAAGAGAATCCGATAATAACGGCTGCACACATCCCATAACGGAACAGGAAACTGGCCCGGAAGTCGACGGTGCCATCGCTGCGAACAACCTGACCTGTCAAAGACCTCGACATTCTCGTCGATCCACGCACCGCAATAGTTCCTCCAGAAATGACGCAGCGATTGTGTAAACATCCTGAAGACGGCTGGAATAACATCAAGTTGGGCACGCGTACCTCGCCATCAGTTTCCTTGACCCCTGGCGCGCATGGCAGGCACTCGCACGACGGCGGTCGCTTCGGGTCGACTACAACGAGGCTCACTGGGCACCTCGCCCGCCTGGGGGCCGCTCGATAACACCACCCCGATGGATGCACCGCCCCCGCTAGGTGGCGGACCGCGGGTTCGAGCCCGGCGCCCATCTGGGATTGCGTTAACAGGGCGGTCACGCCCAAGCTCGCCCTCAGAGACCTCAGCCGATTCAACGAGCGGCCGTGCCTTCTTCGGGCGAAGCGCAAGCTCGATGGCAACCCAGGGCCTACTTGGGCGAGGTCTCCAACGTTCGTCTCCCCACTGTTCCTGCGGGCGCGGCATCGGGCGCTGGACCAGCGCTAGATAACGACGGTGCCCCCCCGATCTCCTTCGGCGGCGACCGGCCTTTGGCGGGGGCCTAGCCGGGCAACGCCCGAGGAGCTGGCGGGGATACGGCCCTGACACCGTCCGGCTGCGCGAGGATGTCTGCGCGGGCAAACACTCCGCGAGACAAGGAGCAAGCGCAATGTTCGATTCGCGCACCACGCAAGTAACTCTCGCCTTGGCGTTCTGGGGAACCAGCTCGGTTAACCCGGCATACGCGGCGCCAACCTGGCGCGTTCACTCCACGATCGCCGCCATGTTCCCAGCAACCTTGCGGCGTCCAACACCCGATCACCGTTGCCTCCACCAACGCCTCCGATGTCCATGGTATCACGGGTCTTCGCGTCGGCGCGCATATCTTCTTGCGCGCCCACTCTTCAAATTTAACATAAAATGTGCGGTAATTTTCAGATATGAATAAATCGGGCGCGTTGAAGCACTCCTGGTGCAACCCCTCAAGATGTTTCCCCACATGCGTCATAATTGTCCTCAGCACAGCGATGCGAGGCGGGAGATAAACGAGCATACGGGACCTTACTTTCTCAGCGCTTCCACTATCGCCGTCCGCTGCTCTAATTGGGTGGCCACGTCTCCACTGTTACTTGGCTTGCCTGGGCTCATATCCAGGCTC